GAGTTCTGAGGAAGGGTCACCGAACCCGAAACGTTAACTCTGTTTTCTCCTCCACAGATGCTGCCAGACCTGCTGAGCAGATTGTTGACCACTTTGCAGAACACCTCCACTCTGTTTGTAGGAATGACCCGAACCTTCCATGTGCTTCCATTTAAGTAAGCCATCCCCATGCTGACATGTCTGTCTTTGGCTGGCTGCTATGGTCCAATGAAGCACAATGCAAGTTCCAAGAACAAGTCCTCATTTTCAGTTTAGGCACTTTACAGCCTCTTGGACTAAATACTGAATTCTACAATACAGAGCCTGACCATATGATGTCTGTTCTCCAAAGTTCTTGTATCTTCCCCACGCCCTGCATCTTGTCTTACTTCTTTCACTCTCAGCAGACAGTGCCCCAGAGAGAGTTGGGCAAAGAATCTTTAAGTACATTTAAGCAGAGGTAGATAGATACTTGACTAAGGAGGGAGTCAAAGAGAATCAAGGGTAGACAGGAATGTGAAAGTTGAGAGCACAATCAAATTTGCCATAATTTTATTGAACGATGGAGCAGACTTGACAGGGTGAATAGCCTACTCCTGCTGCTATTATAATACCTATGTATACAAACTGTATATATTATTTCTGCAAAGATTACTGAAACATTTATGTGCTGAATTCTTTGGTTCTATGTATTCTTCTTTCCATTAACACCAGCTATTCCAGTTTGCTATAGAATGCAAACCTTCACATTCCAGTCTCACCAGGTTCCAACGAATTAATGGATAATCCGTCTTCCACTTGCAAATACCTTAAACAGCAACAGCATTCTCCTTCAGCCTTGACCTGCATGCAATTTCTATTCATCCATTGGTTTTCTCCTCATGCCAATGTTTCTCCATCAATGTCTATTCTCTCAGTCATTGTCTGTTCACATGACCCTCCAGAATTCTTATCTTAATTCCCACCATTTTCTAACTTCTTTGCTGCCTTTAAAATGTTTGCTTTGAACTTGCTTTTGATCCCATCCATAAATATTGGGTTTCCATAACTCTTCTTTGCCCTTTTATGATACTTATATTTTGAACTAAGTTAAAGTTTACTGATCACATGGGCCAAATAGCCTGTTTCTATCCCATATGTCCCAACCAGTCCAGGCTGCTGTTAATGCTCCATTTGGGTCTCTTCCCATCCTTCCTCATTTAGATCTATCATCATGAACTTCTATTTCTTTCTCCATATGCTTAACTATTTTAGCCTTAAATGTACAGATATCATTTCCTTCACTGTATGGTGGCTCAGCGGCTATCACTGCTGACTCAAGGCACCAGTGACCCCGGTTCGATTCCAGCTTTGGGTGACTGTCTGTGTGGAGTTTGCACATTCTCCCGCGTCTGTGTGGGTTTCTTCTGGGTGCTCTAGTTTCCTTCCACAGTCCAAAGATGTGCAAGTTAGGTGGATTGGCTATGTAAGCTGCCCATTGTGTCTAGGGTGGGAAATGCAGGGATGGGGTAGGGGGTGGGTCTAGGTAGGATGCTTTTTGGATGGTCAGTGTGGACTCAATGGGCTGAATGGCCTGCTTCCACATTGTAGGGATTCTATGATTCTATGAACTACTCTGTGTGACAGTGAGTTCCACATGCATAAATATAACATACAATACTTGAAATTTTCAATTAATCCCCACACAATAATTGTACACAGTTACAAGCAATGACAAATAAATTCTGGCTATTTTTATTTGAACAGAGGAGATTGCAAGGTGATTTGACAGAGGTACTTGAAATCACAATTGGCTGGGACAGGAAATATAGAAATAACAGCTGCAATGAATAAGGTATGGGTCCAGAATATGGGAATATATTACACTTAAGTTTAGGATAGAGAGCAAAAGAAATTTTACGCTATGTCATAGAATGCATTCTCAAAGTTAAAGCCTGAAGCAGAAACCATGAGCTGAATTTTGTTGGGGGAGGAATTTTGTTACTGTCCACTCCAATCACACAGCCTACCTCCTGGAAGGAAGTTGGTCCTGAACAGACTCATGTCAATGTCAAACCATTGCATAATTTGCTCCAGGTGGTCTTAAGGAAGGTAGGTCAAAATTCCACCTAAGTGGCACATAGTTTGGCAGGCTTATTAAAAAGGCAACTCAGGTCTCTCGCTGTCACTCCATTTAGTGGATAAGACCCCCAGCATGACTTCCATTAAATACAGCAGATAAATATTTAAATGAAAGAGTAATAAAAAAGGCTATGGGAAAATTGTGGGCATGTTTCAAGATAACATTTCAGGTCTGTGACCTGTGAACATGTACTCACAGCTTATTTCCATACTGTAATTTCTAATAACTACCTGTGTTTTTATTTTATGACCTAATCTCATGACATGAGGAACTTCATATAACTCAAAAATATTACCCGAAATGAAATTTCCAGATTTTCTCCTCCCCAAATATCCATACCACTGTCGTATTGCCCAAGCTCGATAAAGTAATTCCTGTTCATTGCAAATAGTCCCCCCGCCATTGTTGGTGACCTGAATAAAAAGACATAAGAATGAAAAAAGAAACATTTGTTAAGGCAACTATAAACGACTGCTGCAGATCTGAGCAAAATTGATTAGAGTTTCTTAAGATGCATCTGCCTACATGGCAAAAGTGATGAAATGCTTTAATTAAAACACAATTCCCTCTTCCCATTCTGAAGGCAGAAGTCACATGTTACCAGGTTATAGTCCAAAAGGCTATTTGAAATCACAAGCTTTCCGAGCAGCGCTCTGAAAGCTTGAGATTTTAATAAACCTGATGGACTATATCCTGGTGTCATGTGACTTCTGACTTTGTCCAACCCAGACTAACACAAGCAATCCCACTTCATTCTGAATGGGGCAGGTAAAAAGGTGAAGATTGAAAATATAATCCACAATTTTTAAATAAGAAAGAGAATCAATTCAATAATTATGACAAAAATGAGGTGTTTTTACTACCATTAAATGTTGTTTTAAATCCAGTTATGATGTACTAACAACTAACAAGTACTTTAATTCAAATCCCAGCAAACTTATTTTGGTCCAG